TTCCCTGTTTGAAACTAATCCACCTCGTGCCTTTAGCCTTTTTGCAGCTGCCCTTAACAGTGTTCTAGTCTATTGATAATTCATCAGGCTGCAACTGAGGCAGCTGCCAAATATTCTGGAATTCTGGACCCCAATCTGGGCACTGGTTCTGTCTAAACAGACTGGGATAAAATACCAACTGTAGCAAAGCCAAGGGCCATTATAAAGCTGTAGGGTAGTTGTTAGGGAGATGAAGGCTGATAACTTATCTATGTTACGAAAATTTGCCAGGCACATGTTTAGGACATGGAAGTCCTGGCTGCTTGCTTTTTTATTTAATTAATTATGTAATATGCTGGATAGCTTAATGGTTTAGGGACCTGGCTGCAGAGGATGGGAGCTCAATTCCCCACTGTGTCTCTTGCACAGGAGCTGGATTTTATGACCCATAGGGTCTTTTCCAGCTCTGTTCAAAGATTATTATGTCACCTTTCTCCCGGCATAGGGAACCTTTTTCTAATGTTAAAAAGTGGGTGTGTGGGTGGGTGTGCTTCTCTGGTTACTGAGCAATGTAGTTTCAAGACTAATAGTGGGAAACTGGTGACTCACCTGATTTTGATGGATTCTAGCTGCTATCAGCCCAAGCTAGGATGGCTGATGGGCAAGGACATTGAATGCTGCAGCCCGGCAACACCTGTAGCCCACAGATATTATTCTAATCCATCGTTCTGTGCTGCTGTATTCCAATTACCACCAATTGATGGATAGGTTTGCTCAGAGCTCTGGACATTATGTACTGTACTTTGAATCTTCTGCTTTCTGCTATAGCTAATACTGGTGCAGACACATAAAGTACAAAGGTCCTCAGATAAAGATCATGGGTCTTCAAGGAAGACTTTGGAGTTCCTTTATACAGTATATTGTAAATTCCTGGCATATGTGTTCCACCAACAGCAGGGTGTGTAGTAAGAGGAATACTAGGACATGGGATTGGTTTGTGGACAGAAGGGAATGTGTCAAGTTCACATAAAAATCCCCTTCCAATTCCTTAAGTAAAAGATGACCACAAAATCTTGGGTCTTCCCAATGGATGTGGACTTTGTAATGGGGCATTAGCCAAAATCCTATTGAGTTTTTATGCTGGTGTAAAACTTGTTCATTAACTGCAGCAGATTAAGAACCTAGTGTAGGCATTTGCTATTGCATACCAAGTTGTGGGATTCTAGGCACAACAATTTGCAACAATTTGCCAACAAGCTGTATACCCGCTGTGTTATGTTGGCAGCCATAACTAATATGATTTTGGCTATAAGTTTATATTTTTACTAAGAGAGGTTGCACCAAAGCAATACTAGAAATCTGAGTACTGTAAACTTACAATGAGATTCTGAGCTCATCATCATAACATAGTTATCATCTTCAGTATTCACTTGTCCTTCTTCCTCACCATCAATTTCATTACTGTCCTCATTTGTCTGGAGGGGAGAATAGTGGAGCAACAATCAAAGCATTTGTATCAATAAGGGTTTCAGTGCAGTATGAAATCACAGATCTGGAATCAGTCATGCAAATGTCTCATCTGTTTTCCACTTCTGCATAAACGATTTTGAGAATTCTGAATGGTTTTTAAAATCCAGAGATATCTGCCCACTCATCTCCATTCTAAGAAGAAAAAAAGTTGTTTAGAACACCAAATAAACTGCAAGAAAACACAAGAGCAGAAGGCTCTCTTTTCAGTGGACTTCAGATAACATTTTTTTAAAGCCAACAAATTACTGGCATGTTTGCACAGAAGTTAAACAGATCTTTTTTCTGAGGCTTTCCTGACTTGCAAGGATTACGACAAAAGAACTATTTTAGGTGCATCCAAGTATTTAGGAATGCCCTGCTCATAGGGGAAGGTGTTTGACTTTTTTGGCCCACTGAAAAGGAGACCTTATGTATGATATCAGAATCGGCTGGGGAAATTCTCCTAAATTTCAAAAGTGGGTTGCTGGAGAAATGCTGTTTGTAAAATGTTAAGCCCTAAGTTACTTTCGGCATGCTGTACTGTATTTTGGGGGGAGGGAATTTGGCTCCCAGACAATGCATGTGACTCTAATTGCTTCTGCCTTGCACCAACATCTCTCTACAATTAGAATCAGTGTTGGCATTGGGCCAGTCTGCAGCAATCTGTTCCTTATTTTTACAGCAAAATAACATACACTGGAGGAGATCTGAAGCAGGTGATCCATGACTGATCTCTGTACATTTTGTTTTTCTTTTCTCAAACACAGCCATGCTGTGTCTGGAGGGTGGAAGTAGCACCCTCCAGTTTGGCAGAAGAAGTTGTATCTTGAAAACAGACTGGGTTAAGCACCTTCTCTCCCTTGCTACCTAGGCAAATTGGCAGCCAACCCCTGGTTGAACACCAGCAGAAGTGGAGAAAGAACTGGGAGTTTCATGCTGAATTCTTAGACAAGAATGTACGATTTCAACCTGCTTGAACAAAACTGGCTTTACCTCCCTTATCTGTTTTGTGTCTGCTTCTGCCCAGGGAAGAATGTATTTGCACCCTCACAGCTAAAAATCTTGATTTCAACCTGTTTCAACAAAACTGGCTTTACCTCCTTTATCTGTTTTATGTCTGCTTCTGCCCAGGGAAGAATTGCTGGAGGCAATGTGCCCACTCAAGGACGGATGTATTTGCACCCTCACAGCTAAAAATCTCAGCATGTGCATGTTTTCTCGATAGCAAATTTGTTCACCCTCCAAATTTTAGCACCCTAGTTCAAAGCACTGGTTACCCTGTCCCACTTACAGCTTTGATAAGTGGCACAGCAACCAAATTTGTGCAAAGTCACTGCGGCTACCAGGGCTTCCAGCCATATCAAGGAGAATCTTCTGAGCCCTGATTCTGAATCTGTTTTTTTCAGGAAGAGTGAAGCCCCCTCCAAAATAGTCTGTCTGCCAAGTTCCCAGATCTGAGCTATTTATTTATTTAATTTGTATCCCGCCCATCTTGTCTATACAACTACTCTAGGCAGCTGGCACAAGACACGTTATCTAGTTACAATTCAGTCTAACTTTTGTTGGTCCTCAACCAATGAGTTACATCCAGTATGTGCCAACCTAGGACCTCCATGCATAGGACTACAAAGAAACAATTGATTCTACATCTTTTGGTACCACTACAATTTATGCTGATTCTAGAAGTTCGCAATTTCCATTTTAGAAATTTAATTTCAGATCCTGAAGCTTCAACACCTAGCCAGGAAGATGTTTGGACTTCCTTGTGTATATTCCCTACCATAAACTCTGTGGTGACTAGTTTGATGAAATATCTTGCAATAACTGAAAGCTTCATTTCTTGCAATATTTACTGGCCTGGTAAAGTCTACCAATTGTGAAGCTGGTGCATCACATATGTTGTTGTTATGTCCCATTAAGCTGATTCCAATTTTCTGTGACCCTATGAATTAGTGACAACCCCAGGGTCCTATAATTAACAGCTCTGCTTAGATTTTGCAAATCCAGTCATTCTATCTCATTTTCAGTTGTCCTCTTTTCTTGCTGGCCTCAACTTTTCTTGACTTTTTTGCATACATCATACATAACTTATCTTTTTGGCTGAACAGATTCACCCAGCTACCTCTCTGCAATTGATTGTAATTTTTCTCCAACTTGTGCTGGAAGAAGGAAATGGGGAAGACATTTTATTCTCATATCTCTGTGTGCTCTGAATAAAAGCACTGTACCAAGTGCCCCTAAGTCTGTGCTAAGAGAAGCTGCACCATTTGATCCATGCACAGTACTAAACATGTCTCCATTTGTCCATTTTGAATTATTTATTCTGTCTCTGCTAGTTACAGGGAGGGAAAACCAAAATTTTATCTTCTGGAATACTGGCAATTGTAATGAGCCCTCTCTGGCTTTGTAACATTTCACTAGTTCCATACTCACCTACCATCAAGTTTACTTACTTACTTACTTACTTACTTACTTACTTACTTACTTACTTACTTACTTACTTACTTACTTACTTACTTACTTACTTACTTACTTACTTACTTACTTACTTACTTACTTTATTTATTTATTTATTTCTTAGTCATAAAATCCAGAGTGATTCACTTCCAGAAAGAAGAGAAGAGAAGAGAAAAGGGGAAAAAAGGAAAGGAAAGAAGATTCTTTGGAAATACTGAGCCCAACAATTAATTTTGCTTTTTCTCCTTTATTCACATGGAGTTATACAGTGAGGCATAACAGTAAGTAGGAAGTAACTCCTATTCACATTGTCTTTGTTTGTTTATTTTTTGCTTGTTTGTCCAAGTCAGAGTAGCTGTCAGTCCAAACACAAATGGAATCATTTTTAACTTTGACTAAAAAATAAACACGTACTGTTAAAACTCTTTACTGTTAAAGGGGTCCCCCCCCATCCTGTGTGTGTGTGTGTGTGTGTGTGTCTCTCTGTGTGTGTGTCCCTTCTTCACAAGCCTAGAAGTACCAATCTAGTGAAATTGCTTGTTAACAAGGAACTGCATCATGTACTGCCTGGCATTTGGTTTTCGAAAACAGAGGACGGTTTCAAGGCCAAAATTTAAGTAGCATCCATTGAAGCTCCCTCCGTCATGGAAATTTGCCGAAGCCGAAACATCTTTAAAATCTGCGGTAAATCTATTCAGCCTGGCCTTGGCTGTTACATTTTTATATCTCTTCTGTTCCTGAGCAGTTCCACAGGAGTGTGGGTAGGAGCGCCGTCTTTCCCCATGGGAACAAAAAACACTGCAAAGGAAACGGATAACAGTTCCCTGTTTTTCTCTTCAATGCCTTGCCAAGTCATTAGGGGGCATGAAGAATCTGGGAAGGAAGGGGCTCTGAGTTCCTCAAGCAGCTCAGCTCATGTTAAAACTTTGGAGATTTAAAAAAATGCTTTGGGGGACTACATTGCCCAAATCCCCCAGTCATCATGGAACTGGCTGGGGGATTCCGAGTTTTGTAGTTCAAAAATGAAACTTTTCGGTGTTCAGGCAATCCTCCCAGATCAGCAAGAAGGGAGGAAACTGAAGGAGAACGAGGGGGATAACCAGGTTTTGAGAGGCCCTTGGGGAAGTTGCTCTCCACAGTCTACACAGATCAGCAAGAAAGGAGGAAACTGAAGGAGAATGAGGGGGATAACCAGGTTTTGAGAGGCCCTTGGGGAAGTTGCTCTCCACAGTCTACAGTACCTCACTCTTGGAGTGAGTCTAACTCTTCCATGACCACTTGGCACTATTGTCCTTTTGTCTGCACCCTATTTCTTGGCCATCTGCATGACACCCAAAGGGAGGGGGAAACTAAATTGTATACATGTTGTCTTTTCCTGATTCTTTACCCTGTTTGCCTAATCAGAGAGGGGAATTGTCCTTTTGTCTGCACCCTATTTCTGGCCATTTGCATGACACCCAAAGGGAGGGGGAAACTTTTCCTGATTTTTTACCCTGTTTGCCTAATCAGAGAGGGGAAGGAAACTGGTTATGACACTAAGGCAGTGGGAGGCAGACACCTCAAGAGGTATATGGTGGTGGCGGTGGGTAGGAGCACGATCCCTCTACTCGATCCCTCTACTCTTCTCTCAGCATCCCCTAAACAAGCCAAATGTTCCTATTTATGGTAGCCAAAGACACTCCATTGACAGTACTGAAGTAAGATCCAATTGCCAATCCAATGGTCTTCTATGTGGAAAGGGACGGGCTGGCTCAAGTAGTGAAATGTAGGGACAACAGAGAGAAAGAGAAGCACTGGCTAGGGTTCCAAGGCCCAGCAGTGGATTCCTACTGGCTTGTGAGCTGTAATAGTTGCTGATCTTTGGGGGCACACATGGGCTTCTGCAGAAAGGTCCGGTGCACTGAAGTTTATGAGCATCTGCCTTGCAACAGCTACTGTAGAACTGAAACAGGGCTCAGTCAGCCCCTTGGAAATCCCTTCGCATGGATGCTGCAATACACTTTGTGTAACTTAAAATGACACACATTTTTTCACGCACGTGATTAGAAACAACTCCATCGTAGCCTTGGTTGCAGACCCTCACTCTCTGGCATTTTACAAATGCTTGTGTAACCAAGATGCTGGTTGCTAGAATTTTATTCTTCGAAGTGTATTTTAAAGATTATAAACTGCTTTTAAATTATTATTGTATAATTAATTAACTGATTATCAATTATTATTATTATTTGTTTGTTCTTAACCTTGTAATTTATTGTGTTTTTAATGCCATGTTTTAACGTGAGTTGCCTAGGGTCTCATCACTGGGAGGTAGGCAGCCCAAAAATGAAGCAAGCAAACAAATAAGCTACCAGATGTTCATATTAACCAAGGAGTTCTGCTCTCTCCTTATTGCAGAGTATAGCAGCTTTCAGTTTCACATTAGTTATCTTGTCTGGGGATGCCATCCTTGATTCACTCCATTGCTGAAGGCTCGTGTGTTCCTTCAATGTCCTCTATTCATGTCCTATGC